TATCGTTTTCTTGGCTTTTTCTGAAGAAATGTATTCATAATAAATGACGTCTTCGTTTTAGAAAACTAGTCGATCACCCCAATCATTCCTTCTGCAGCAAGCAAGTTCGGCCCATACGGTATTCGTTACCTTGCGGCGTCCAACTCTGGCACTGAAATCACCAGTGATCACCTTGCAGTGCCTTTTTCCATGTTCATACACTTCTACTTTATCCCAAAAATTTTCAAGCTCTTCATCAGCATGTCATGAATTGGCGCTTGCACTCGGATCACTTGGAATTTGTATCTCTTTGAAACTCCCAGTACCGATCTTGCACCCCTCTCTGAAGCGCTGTCAAGCGGTATTGCATTGTTCCTTGACCTTCTGTAAATAATGAACCCTATTTTCCATATACTTCCATGTGTTCATCCTCAGTGCAGTGGGAACTCACTTAAGTTCGAACAGTTTCTCCTCCTTTCTTCCTATTTCGCCAAGTTCTTGAAATGTTGCAATTGATTTTCCGAAGTTCTTTTTCCAGCTCTTCTGGCCTTGATTTGCCTAGAAGTTAACTACAGTTTTAGCAAAATTTAGCTGCTCCGATCTGTAACCGGGATATTCTTAGCACCTTCTACGTTCATGCTTGACCAGCTGCTGCCTTTGTCGTCGGCAATCCAGCTTCCGTGGAACGTGGCCCGCTGTTTTAGTTGTGATTTCATCTTGAAGGATTTGACCATAACTCACCACACTGGCCAGGCAGGTTGGTGATTTTGCCTCTTCCACTTGTCTGGATATATTTCTCGAGCTTTCACAGCGTTGTTGAACTTGCCAGATCTTAAAGGTGCAGTTGTGCATCGTCTTGAGAACCCGCTGTCACCCTTGAGACTACGTTGTTAGTGCCTGTCATAAATTTCATTCATTATATCTAGGTATAGCAATATCTTGCCATGATAGAGTTGTATCGAAGATTCATAATTTTTTCCTCCGCGCACACGGTTCAAACTCCCATTGTTACTAAACAGAACGACTGGAATTTGTTCAGTGTGACAGTTTTTCCTCTTATATGTATTAATTTTTGTGCAGTTCGGTACTGTTCCATCAGTGTTTCATCGTTTATCGATTCTTGTTTTATGCGTCCAGCTGTAGTTCTGCAATATGT